TAGGAGCATCCCTTAAAACCAGTCTACACCCCAAAAGCAGCCAGACAACGTTGGATGGAGCAACGGGCCCACATGCCCAACTCCGAACCCTCTACCAACACAACTCAGGCAAGCTCAAGTCAGTGCCGCCACAAGAGCAAAGCGACACCGCAAACATCAGATTTCTAGTGACGTTCGAGCTACACAGAGGGCTAACAACCATCTGCTGCCCTCCTGGTGCCATCACTAGGTCAGTCTGAAACTCTCTTCACACTACAAAATCTCCATAACAATTCCCTGCGACCCCAGGAAACACCTGCACTCTCACCAGTGAGAGTTCAAACCGGCTGTTCCACACCGCAGGTACCACGGATAGCCTACTGGCTAACAACACCTACAAATAACCATCTGACTCAGACCAACTCACTTCAGGATGACAGGTGACACTGCCTCAACACCTGCTGCACAAGCTCGAGGACCCGCATCTTGCTACAGCTTACATCACCACAGCACCCCACTTGACAGCATTCACCACGGCACCACAACCACTCCTGGAGTCAACCAGCAGCCCGAGAGCCACCACTGTCTCCCAGCCGTGAGTAGCAGGTGCGTGTCTGATTGTTCTGCACCTTTGACGTTGCTCGCTGTTGTCTATTGGACGAGAACATCTTTGGAATTCATCACTCTTCAAACCCGGAAGAACGTGATCGCAAGTCCAAACCCTTGAAACCATCAAGACTTTCATCCGAGACTGCATCCGGACACTCGTCAAAGACCAAGGCAATGCAAGTATCGTGCATTTAACTAAACGAAACTAAACAGTTTAGTATAAGTGGTAGAACCCCATTGTAAAACAGCACTGATGGTTTTTAACTCTGGTTCTGACTCATTTTCCATAACTGCATTCTCTGGTTTCTCTAATGGCTTCATTCATCCACTTTAGCTCCCCTTTTGTATGTCTGCCTGAGTGCATGTATGTTTGTTTGTTTGTTTGTTTGTTTCTTAGACTAGTTTGTGTTAGTGTTTAGTTAATAAAACTCAGATTAGTTGAGGGCAATTTAATTCTGCTACAGTTACTACTGGCAGCTGATATAAATAATTGTAATTAATCATAATTAATTGTAATTATTTATATATATTTCCCTTTTGAGCTGATTTGCTACACCTTCTATCTGTACACATTGGGTTCTTCCCTTTAAATAAGCAATAAACAATGAAATAGGCTTAGATTGGCAGGACTATCAGAAAATGCTATTTAATAATATGTCGTGATCCACAGTATCACAGTAGATCATGGTTTTAGTAATGCCAAATTCATTGTTTCAAGTCCCACGAATGCATGATTTGCATGACCTTGTGTTTCACATTGTTTATACTTACATAGTGATTTACAGTACTTATTCAGCATATTAAATTTGTAATTTAACATTGGGATACAGGGAAAAAAAGTATTTTCACACATAAAGTAAAAACAGGCTTTAGGAATTGCACTGAAAACACGGTTGTTAAAAGATTGCATTTTTTCAGTTTCTGTCACACACTCTTCATTATGTATGGCCCATTCTCAGCAGTTACACTTGGTTATAGAGTATTTGAAGAGGAAGACTCAATGTAAGTACACTGCATTCTGGTGCCCTACAGATGACATATATATTGCATTAATTTGTACCCCCGCCTTTGTTATATCTAATGTGTATGCCTGTAGTTCTGAAGGTTATGGCAGTATGATTTTAGGATGTACCTGAGTAGATGTCCATGTGCTCACAGGCTGGTTTGGTGCCAGATTGTTGGGCGACTCCTGATGGCTCCCGCTCATAGTGCCAATTCCCAGTCAGGCCTGTTAAATGCTCCGCACGGAGTGAGCTTGGCAGATCCAGACCTCTGAAATGAACTGTGTGAACAGGCCAATTAAATGCTCCATGCTAAGCATCTGTGGTTAACATTATGTTGTTCCCTATGTGGTGAGCATTCTGCTTATACTTACTGTTTGGCCGAGGCTTCGTCTGACAGTCAGTGTGGGAACAGGCAGGGGAACAGCGTTAGACACCTCACCCATCTGCAGTCTTTTCATAACGCATATATGCAAATGAACTACTAACAATAGCAGTAAAAACCTAGTGCTATCTATAGAACTGGTGTGTTCATTTTGTATTAAGAATTTATCATTTGTAAAGCTGAGCTTTGTAAAAGTATATGTGCTTTTTGACAATAGAAGTCTTATAAAGCGTCTGTAATATATCTGCATTGCAATCAGTGTATCTCCTTTGTAACATAGAGACATGCTAGCAAATAAACAGATTTATTCATTTTTTTCAGTACCAGACTCTCAAGAACAAGACATTTTCCTCTGGAGGAAAGACACAGGCTTTGGCTTCCGGATCCTGGGGGGAAATGAACCCGGAGAACCGGTGAGTCAGAGAGCACACACAAATATACATGCATCCTTCCAACAACAACTGTAAGAGCAGAGCTGATACTGCAAGTCTGTTCCAATCACTGCTGCTTTCTTACACGGCGTGCATTGATTTGAATGGAGACAGCTGCTATGTGCTAGCTTCACTCCAGAGTGTTAAGCGTGATATGAGGGACAGGGTCCCAGTATCAGAGAAACACAGTGAGGCAATGATTTAAATGTATTGGCTTATGCCACAGTCTGCAACCTGCAAGAGCTGTCCTGCTTACCAGTGTTCTTCTCATGAAATGCATGGCAGATTTACATTGGGCATATAGTGAAGTACGGCTCAGCGGATGAGGACGGCCGTCTGCGCTCCGGAGACGAGCTCATCTGTGTCGATGGCACGGCAGTAGTGGGAAAGTCTCATCAGCTGGTGGTGCAGCTCATGCAGCAGGCGGCTAAACAGGGTCACGTCAACCTCACTGTCCACCGCAAAAACGCTTACGGAGGTACACCTGCACTGGCATCTGCTTTTCTAGTTTGATTTTCATTGTAGTTCATTTAATTGTTTTATTTTCATATGTATTTCTATTTAATTTTTCATCACTTCTAACACTACAGAACACTACAGCATAACATGCTGAAAATCCTATGGACCTTTCTCACATTTCTCACATTTTGTACCACAAATTTATTTTTGCCTTCCCATTTACTCAGATAGCAAAATAAAAACTGCATGATAATGTTTCGACTTAGAAGCTAGACGCTTAAACTAGAGAGAGACTGATAACGGCAGAGAGAACGTCAAATTTACCGTAGACGCTCTGAAACACCCTTGCGTTAGCGTTAACTAGTTTTTTGTAATTTGATGCAAAGGTAATATAATACAAAGCATAATGTTATAAATGTACACACACGCAACAAACCCAAGAGCATTACTACCTGTGTTGAAATCTGAAATGCTATGATGCGTGTTCATATTGAGAGTAGTATTTACAAAGTTTGTAATCTTAGTCAGTCACATTATTTAAACACTAACATTTCAACATTTGTTGAATTCACACCTCTGGAATATTGAGAAAACATACATTACCACAAGGTTGTGTGGTAATTTCATTGCCAGTTCAGAGAGATCAAAGAGATCTTTAAAAAAGTTTTGAAATTCTCTTAGACCACTGGCAAGCTCCGTACTGTAAATGTTGCGCTTCGTGGTTATGTGCACGTATTTTAAATATGAGCACTTTTATTACTGAGATGCTGGGAAAGAAGCTCACATCATGCAAAGATGTGATAAAAACTGATAGCCTATATAATAACACTATAGACTATAGTTAACACAAAATAATACCTTTTAAAGCCTTTTTTTTACATTTTGGCTACATATGCCATATGTCATGCTATAGTATCGTTAAACTAATGATATCGAGTTTACTAACGTAACTATCTAACAATGGACAAAAGTGTTTTTTTCCTCTGACCCAATAAAGGCAGCTGTGTAATTTGCACCCTGAATAAACATTTAAAGAATTTAGGGGAAGCATTTAAATAATCCTATGAATGCAATTAAAGAATGCAGAATCAAATTGCTAATTGAATCAAATTTAATTTAATTGTCCATTGTCTCGAGTGGAATCGTTCTGAATTTACAAAAAATAGTTCTTGAATCGAATCGAAAACCTATAAATCATTAATTGAATCGATTCACTGTCAACCCAAAGATTCACAGCCCTACTGGGAAATGATTTCAAGAACAACAGTGAGTGGAAGGTGTTTAGAAGAAGAAGAAAAACAGAAAACACAATCACAAAGTTTAGGGCCACTATTATGCAGCAACAGATATGCAATCAAATGCTAAATGATGTATTATTTACATCATTTAGGGCACGCACAATTAATAATTTCAGTAGACCACCAAACAGACAAATGTTTGCCTGTAAATAAGAGGTTGCGTCAAATCATTTGTGCTAATTCCACCTTTTTCACATCACTAATTTTGAGAAGTAAAATGCAAGACAGAAAACCATTTAAACCACAGTGTGTCAGTTCTCCTGTTATTAAATAGGACATTTAAATCATTAATGTTGGCCTTGTGAGAGACTGACCACAGTGCATTTGTGGGTCTGTAGGATCACAGATCATGCAGATGCACTGACGAGCCTCATCGTGTGTGTGTGTGTGTGTGCGCAGTGTATAAGGGTGAGGCAGACGTGCCACCGTCCCCGGCCTCCTCTCACCACAGCAGCACGCAGGCGCCGTCGCTGACGGAGGAGAAGCGCACGCCACAGGGCAGCCAGAACTCGCTCAACACCGTCAGCTCGGGCTCCGGCAGCACCAGCGGCATTGGCAGTGGCGGAGGCGGCGGCAGCGGGAGCACCGTGGTCAACATGACGCCCGCCACCCTGCAGCCCTACGACGTGGAGATCCAGCGCGCAGAGAACGAGGGCTTCGGCTTCGTCATCGTGTCGTCCGTGTCACGGCCTGACGCCGGCTCCACCTTCGGTACGGTGTTCATGTGCTCGGCCAGCGCACGGCTAGGGATGGGCGATACCACTTATTTTGTTTTCGATACGATACCGATGCTTTTAAAGACCAGTTTTATCGATACTGAAACCGATACCGATACGATACTTCTAAACTGATCTTTTAAATTATTACATTTATTAAATTACTAAGACTAAAATGGGTAATAATACCCACTTAACTTTATATTTGAAACGTATTTTAGCATTCAGTATGCCTTAATTGCAACTTATTAGGTTATATTTTTGTTTACACATGGTTAAACTATGTTTACTGTAATGGTAACCATGGAAATCTACAAATACTATAGTTAAACTGTGGTCACTTTAATAAAACCATGGTTCATTTTCATAAGGGACTGCAGTGACAGGCTGTTGAATGCATAAAATACAACCTTTTTGTTCTGACAGTGTATGATTTATATTAACGTTCCGATGAGCAGGAAAATAGTTCTTTCCTACACAATTATTTGCTGACATAGGTTATTCGTCCAATTTAATCCATATTGCATGCATTATTTTTTGTTAAATAAACAAAATTACATGTAAATGAAACACACCTTAGTATCCATATTTTATATTTGAGTTTTGATACTTTTGATACTCGCATCAGTATCGATATTTCTAACCACGGCAACAAATCTGAGAGAAGACCTTTAGAACAATGGATGTGATCGATTCATGACTGTGATTTGATTTTTGGTGTTCAGATTGTGGCACTGAACTTTAATTGACATGAGAAAATTAAATTATTTTAGTTTGAAGTCACTTATTTTTTTTCCCTCTTCTGTCTCTTTTTGTCTCCCTTTGTCTGTCTTTTTCCCTTCTGCCTCTGAACTGTGACACACACACACGCACGCACGCACACTCACTCACTCACTCACTCACTCACTCACTCACTCACTCACTCACTCACTCACTCACTCACTCACTCACTCACTCACTCACTCACTCACTCACTCACTCACTCACTCACTCACTCACTCACTCACTCACTCACTCACTCACTCACTCACTCACTCACTCACTCACTCACTCACTCACTCACTCACTCACTCACTCACTCACTCACTCACTCACTCACTCACTCACTCACTCACTCACTCACTCACTCACTCACTCACTCACTCACTCACTATCAGCTGATTCCACATACACACACACACCCACAGGTAGCTAACCTAAGCAATCCACAAGGTCACTCAGATTAGCACACACACACACACACACACACACACACAAACACATACACACACACTCTCTCACATACACACACACTCTCTCACACACACACACTCACTCACTCACACGCACTCACTCACACTCACTCACACTCACTCACACTCACTCACTCACACTCACACTCACA